TGCAGAAATATAATTCTATAGACCAACAAATTTCATCACTATCAAAAAAACTATTATTCTTAAGGTCCAAGAGCTTGTTTTCAAATATATAACTAATATTTACCAGCATATCATACTTTTCATATTCAATATACAAGCAAATATATTCAAGATGAAGATGAAGAAGTGGTATTTGATCAATATGAAATTGAGAATAGTCTCTATAGATCAATTAGATCTATCTTAACTATTCTTTGTTCTGTTTGAAAACAATCCTCTTCACCTATACTTATTCTAAAAGATACTATTAAACTAAAACTCGAAGATGATAGCCATAATATTAGTCAGAAGCAAAACTATATAATAATGACTATTTGTTTTCTAAATAAAGATAAAAAGGTTTTAAAACCTAATAATCAATATTGGTAAATTTTATAATTTTAACTATATAGGATAGGTGCTTAGAAAAGAGTTCAAATAAGATTTTTAGTAAATTGATTTTATGTTATAAATCTTATAATAGATTATAAAATTTTCAATTTAGATTCTTTTCTCAACACCTAGCCTATAATTATCAATGTTAATTATCGATATTAATTTATTTAAGCAGTGTTAACTATTTATATTATTATCAACATTAAAAGTTACAATATTAATAGCTTTATTAATTAGATCTGTTATTTCTATTCTTTATATAGCAACATGATATTTATGAATAAGCTAGGGTTTTACAGCAGCCAATCAGTAATAACCATCTCAGAACAACAAAGATTTATCATATGCCTGAACAATAGCATCCAATTTGGAAAGTTCTAGTTTAAATTAATAATTTCATGATTAAAATTTACTAATTGAATGTTATGTATATAAAAAATAGGCTATTCATTTTTCGTAATCAATTGATATCATGTGAACAATTTTGAAAATCCTTTTTTAGAATCTTTGCCAAAAGCAAAAAGACGATTATCTTGTTCTCTTATTGATTATATATCTGAAAAGGACTGCTTTTTAATATTTTGTTTACTAGGATCTATGCTACTTTGGTAAAAACCTAATTGCCCATCTGAATTTTTGCTATTAGCAGATTTTAAATACTATTCGTATATTTTTTTTCATCTTTAAAAGTGCCTATACCATATTAATAACAATCTTCAACATTTAATTGCCTATCTAAACTTTTGCTATTAACAGATTTCAAGTACTATTTGAATGGTTTTTTTTCATCTTTAGGAATACTCATATCATCTTGATAACAATATTTAATATTTAATTGTCTATCTAAATTTCTGCCACTAGCAGATTTCATATACCATTCAAATGCTTTGTTTTTATCTTTAGAAATATCTATGCTATTTTGATAACAATATTCAATATTTAATTACTCATCTAAATTTCCACCACTAGCAGATTCCATATACTATTCAAATACTTTCTTCTCATCTTTAGAGATGCTTATGCTATTTAGATAAAAATTTTCAACATATAATTGTCCATCTAAATTCCTATTACTAACAGATTTCATATACCATTTGAAGCTTTTTTTTTATCTTTAGGAAAGCCTATACCATTTTGATAGCACTTCTCAACACTTAATTTTCTATCAAAATTTCTATGTTCAAAAGATTTTAAGTAATATTTAAACAACTTCTTTTCATCATTATAAACGTCTATGCCATCTTGGTAACAATTACCAATACTAGATTTCTGTCTTTTATATGGGCTTAAAAGATTTTTATTAAAAACTACTAACTCACTATAATGTTTATGACATAGCTAATCATCTAATTTAAGTTGTATCTTTAAGTTTGAAACAGCTTCACTTTGCATAACCTTAGGAAAAAGCTTTGGCATCAATTTGTGAAACTTTTCTCCAAAGTTGTCCTTGCCACATACTGCACATGGTCCTGTATTTTTATGTGATAAACTCTTTGGCATTGCTACTAATAAAAGTTATGCCTATTTTGGGATCTTGAAATTATATTTTGGGATCTTTGAATTTTGGGTCTTGTTAAATATAAATATGAGTTTTTCAAGCCACAATATTAAAAAACAAACCCTGGGGCTTTGTAAAAAGAAACAGCACTTTTACTATTGTGACCAATGTTCTAAATAAAGCAGCCAATAAACGTGAACTTAATGTAAGACGAACTCGCAATAATCACAATTTTTGTTTATCTGATTGGTAGATCTTATTCGAAAACATCACCAAATTTCCAAAATCCGCCCATATGGTCAATTTCAAGTTTAACCGTTAATCATTTAATAATTCAGCCAGCATTAAAATAATTCTGGCGCATGACCAACGTAATTCGGCTCGGAATTATGAAAAAATTTTTAGACAGTTACCATAAAGTGCATATATAAGACCACTGTGAACGGCTGTAATATAGATAAAAATTTTAGTAAAATGAAACAGACCGGGTATATTATAGGAAACAATGATTAAAAGACCCAGATATGATATTAGAACATAATATATATTATATAAATTCAATAAGTTTTTATTTCTCCCACATAAAAACCTTCCCCGATTATCAGGCCAATGTCTATACAACAAACCCCCCGGGTCTATTAAAGGTTTTAAAATTGGTGGAATGTACCAGGCCTGGGTCTTGTATATGCACTTTTACGGTAAACGGTTCCCAATACTTAGTTAGGATGTGATGTACAGATTAATCTCCTAAATAAAATAAATGTTTATTCAATTGGGTGTTACTTTTGACCCCTATTGTACAATATATATTTATATTATATATATATTTTTTTATTATAAAGCTTTTGTTATTAAACTGTTATATGTATAATTATATTTTTATCCTTTTATAATTATCTGTATTAATACTTTTTAAGCCGATTTAATATAAATAATATGATATGGGTACGTGTACCACGTGTATAAGTCAAAAAAAATTTAATGATCAAGAATTCTGTAATAATAAATAACATTTAATATTTATTACAATAAAATCCAAGTTTGCTCAATTAAAATGTTGAAAGCATTACCTCAAGTTTCCACTTACGACCTTATTCTCAAGCACAGAGTTTGGTGGAATATCGATTCTAGCGCCATGATTCGCGACAATTATGACTGTTCCTTTAAGTTGTACACCAGCACCAAATGTTACATCACCAGTAACTATGAGATGATCTAATTCGAGGATATGAGGCGGTGACTGAAATCGGGCTAAAAAGTTTGAAACCTACGATAATAAACGTTAATTAAAGTGATGATATTCG